TCAACAGTGCCAAGGCTGCTAAACGGGCACGGCACAAACAGAAGAAAAAGGTACAGTGTTTTCTGTTTGACTGTGTGCAATATAGACACTTTAAACTGCAGTAATAGTAATAGTTGTACAGGTGAAATTCGAAAAATTAGAATATCGTGCAAAAGTTAATTTATTTCTGTAATTCAACTTAAAAGGTGAAACTAATATATTATATTGACTCATTACATGCAAAGTGAGATATTTCAAGCCTTGATTTGTTATAATTTTAATGATTATGGCATACAACTTATGAAAACCCCCAAATTCAAAATCAGAATATTGTGAAAAGGTTTTCAAATAAATGAACTTTTGCACGATATTCAAATTTTTCGAGTTTCACCTGTATGTTGATATGCTATTCCAAACATTCCTAAATATGCTACATGAATATAACTAATTGTAAATAAATACACCTTTTTCTGTTGACAATTCAGATTTCCCATCACAGAAATAAATTGCATTTTAATATATAAAAGTATAACAATTATATCTCTATTTTTATTGTTTGAACAGTGTGTGCGTGTGTGTGCACGTGCATGCTTGGATAATATGCTTAAAAATATTATTATTTTGAATTTTATTACTGATAAGCCACTGATTTCTAACAGGCTTCTGTTTCCAGATTGTACCTTTGAAGCTTTGGCTTTTTTGATTTCCAGAAATAGTTTTTTTGAAGACAACTTGCCAGTTGTTGTCTTTATGCAAATGCAGCATTTACTCTTCCAACATTCTTTTAAAAGATACAATTGTGAATGATTTTATCAACAATTTTGAACAGGAGAAGGAGAGGGCTCTTCAGGGCAGCGTTGAGGCAGCCAGCGGTGAACCCCGCTCGGCATCTCCCCCTGATCCCGTAGAAGATTCGACTCAAGATGGGGAGGCAAGCAGACTGTTGGAGTGGCCTCAGCTGGAGCTGGAGCGAGTTAACAGTTTCCTCACCAGTCGTCTGGAGGAGATCAAAAACACCATAAAAGACTCCATCCGTGCCTCCTTCAGCATGTACGACCTCAACCTGGACGTCAACGACTTCCCGAAGAAGGCTGCGACACTGGAAGGAAACCATCTGCTGTCTCACCTCAATGGATCTTCTGATCTGCAGCAGATAGACTTGGATCTGGCACCGCTCTCGTTGAGGAACTTCAAGAGGGACCTAGACATAGTGAACGGTTGGGAGGACACCACCACTGCAGCCAAAGACATCCAGAGGCTCCACTCCACACCCAGTCTTTCCAAGCTCATCCGTGTTCAGTCACCAGAACGAAGCCCAGCCACGGGGTCAGAGTCCATCCAGCCTGGCACCGTGTCTGCTGCCAAACCCAACGATGCAGTTCCTGAAACCAAGACCTCAACTGCAGCCGGATCCAAGACAAAGAAGGCTAAGAAACCTCAGAATCACCGGCAGCAGGACCAGGCGACTCAAGAGCAGGCGATCAATACGAAAGCAGCAAAAACTGAGATGCACAAAGCACAGGAAACAAGGGCAGCTGATTCAGATAAGAACACCAAAGGTGGATCCAAACAGAACCACCAGACTCAGCAGCACACAGACTCCCAGAAAACAGGAAATAAGAGAGCAGAAGAGGTCAAAGCTTGGAAGCAGTCATCCAACGGAGCTTCAAACGGTCACCATAATACAGGGTCTAACACGCAGAGGGGGAAGAACGAACTCTCGGACACACGGGACGTGGACTCTAAAAACACCTCCAACACTCACAGTTCACAGCAGCAAGCACAGCAACCGAAGGGAAAGACTAAAAATAAGAACAAAAACAAGACGGAAAAGTCAAATGCAATCGGTAAGTGGCATTTGGGAAATAGCAAGTTGGTCTGATCTTGTGGGTCTGTTTAATCATATTTTCTTGACAATTTTCAGCTCTTCATTACTTTTCACCCCATTTATCCCTGATAGATGATGTGTTCCTTCCCAAAGATGTTGACCCTACGGAAATGGATGAGATCGATCGTGAGGTTGAATATTTCAAGAGGTAAAACCCAGTCATTACCAAAGACAAACTGCTCTGTTTTTTAGCTGTGTTTCTTTAGACAAGCATCACGTTTATTATTATTGCTTAAATTTAGGATGCAATACAGAAGTTTAGTTTAGTTACATTTTATATTCATATTTTTATAAATATAAATCTGCTCTAATATGGTGATCACAGACTACTGTAAGGTACACTATAGTCCAAAAGCATTTTTTAAAGAAATTAATACTTTTATTCAGCAAGGATGCATTAAATTGATTAAAAGTGACAGTAAAGAAAAAGTTAAACAAAAGATTTAAATTTCAAATAAATGCTGTTCTTTTAAACTTCCTATTCATCAAAGGATCCTGGAAAAAATGCATTAGTAAATAAAAATATCAAGCACAGGAATAAATTACACTTAAAAAAAAAAAAACATTAACAGAGAAAACAGTTATTTTAAATTGTAATAATATTTCACAATATTACTGTTTTATGCCAATTAGAACATATCTGATGCTTAATATACAGTTATGCAAAATGGGATTTTGCAATTTGACTGTCGCTGGGGCTACCAAGTGCAGACATAGTGACTAAAATCTAGATAGGGTAACCAAAACTTCCTGGTGCTCATTGTTAGGATATCAACTAGATTTACATGGAAAAGATATCGCTTGTCTCTTTATCGCCTCACAGGTCATTCTCGCAACCAGAATTGTATACAGATGTAAAAGTCTCACTTGTTGCTTAACATTCTTTTAATTTCCCCTTTTTTTTTCTCTTAGGTTTTGCCTTGACTCTGCTAAACAAACCCGACAGAAGGTGGCCGTGAACTGGTCCAACTTCAGCCTCAAAAAGATGCCCTCAAATGCAGCTCAGTAACAGATGGGTGATGGTAAACAGACCCCCCTCCCCTCCCAGCAAGACTGTACTAAAAACCAGTTTGGCCTTTGGTTACTGTACTTAACACTCGATCGGCCTAAGGTTGCTCCCTCTCACAGCCCTTTCTGCCTCTATGCCACGGGACCTTGATTTTTGACCACCAGTCATCAAACATGTTTTCGTTATACCTGTTGTTCGTGGGGAATCACACTGCACCCTGACCTCAGTCCGAAAACCTGCATCTTGTTATTGCATAAGTCGCTAAAACACATTCGGGTACTGATCCAGTTCATCTATATGCTTTATATGTCGTATGTACACAGTTATTTTACAATAAAAATGTTTTAAAATTTGCAACAATGGCACGGTTTGACCCATCAAGCCTTTTTCAGCTGTTCATTTTAAAAGGTACTTCTCCACTTGCAAATCACCATCATGAATTTTTGCAGACGCCACTCACCCTGCAAATATACTGTAGTCTTAGAATAGATTTTTTGATAATACAAAATTCAAATTGCTGTATCATGTCTGATTGTCATAATGGAGGTAAAAAGGCAGCAAAAGACTGTTGTGTTCACTGATGTTTTAGTTTGTCCATGTGAAATACAAAGATCTGGATAGACTATACCACACCTATGTCATTTGATTTCACAGTCGACTTTGTATAGCCAAGACCGTTAATTTGCGCACAAAGTGAACCGTGCACATTGACTTGGTTGTCCTATAGAACAACGACGAGAACATCAGTGCATATGCTTACAATGTATGACGTGTGAAACCTTTTTTATTACTTTGGACATTTTCAAGAAAAGAAAAAGGAATCAACACTAAAAAGAAATTGATTTTAAAGACCTGTATCCGTTGACTGTCACTTTTATACACAAACTTGAAGGTTGGGCAGACGAGCTACGTTTCCTTTGCATGATGAGTAAAACTGACAAGTGTAGGCTACTACAAACCTCTCCCATTTCCTTTAACACTGTATGGAATGCTGTTCAAAACTGACTTTTGGCAAAAATCCCTGATTCCCAGAGCAATATCTTTTGGTAGTGTCCCTGCTGATCCTCCCTTGTGGTGGTTTGGATATAGTTCTGTGCTGTGACCACGTTCTTGTTGTGAGTGTCAGTTTGTAGTTGGTTCTCCAGCAGTGCACCCTTGTTTTGGCTGCATGACCTCATTTTGTTCATCCCAGACACTCTGCTCATGTAGTTTCAGTCCACTAGTGCGTGACAAGTTCAGACCTGTTTTCACTTACATTTGCAATCAAGGACTTTTCATGATGATTTAAGACCCTCCACCGTGGTACGGCACTTGTAACATCTGGTTGCCCTTTCCATAGCTTTGTATGTCTGCATTGTATTTTTTACTGAGCCCCTTCTGGTAAAAATCCCAACTACAGATATGACATCATGTTGAATATTAGGGTATCTGGGTTTATGATCATCTGAATCTCCTTTGAAGGATTGAGATCTCTTGAGAAATGGTTTGAGTTTTTGTTTTCATATTTTTCCGACATCTTTGACTCTATCCAGGTTATATTCAACTAGAAAACATTATCTTAAACATTTGGAATGTAGATTTATACTATACCATTAATGGCCAAGTGTATGTTGGCTTTCTGTTTTATTTTGTTGTTTTTTATTATTATAATTATTATTATTATTCACTTTTGATACTGTGAAAATCTTTCATGCCGAAAGATTAAAACATGACAGTTTTGAGAGAAAAAAATGTGTCGTGTTTGCTTTCTAAACTACCATGCAAATCTGTTAATATAAGAAAATTGATAAATATAATAAATGAGAATAATTTGGAAAATTGTAGTTCCAAATTAACGTTATTCACCTTGAAGTTGTTTTCAATGTAAAGTTTATGCTAAAACAAACAAAAAAATCTGTTGTCATTAATTCACTCTCGTTTTTTAAAAAACCGGAGACCTTTTAAGGAGATTTTAGGCAGAATATTTGGGATTGGAATGATTAATTGTGACCGAGACTGTCATTCTGCCTAATATGTCCTTTATGTTCCTACATAATGTTTTTGGAAAAATGGACGATCCGAGATACTTTCGTTTCGTTTGGTCAAGTCCCTTTTGGGCCACCGTAGTGTACGTAACATGTACGTCACGTATCTGCTGCGGAGTAGCAGCGTAGCATGCTAGCGAGTAAAAACAATACTTGATGGGATATAATGTAACATTTATCTGACATTTTTACACTTAAATATCATCGCTAAATTGTAATACTAAAGCTAGTAACGTCGAGCATCATGGAAACAGAAAACCGACCCAAAAAGGTGAGTTACGGTATTATGTAAATAAATGGGTCTTAAAGGACTCACCCACATTCACAATATTATTAAACGTGTGATTAATTGTAACGTTACATCGATTAGATTTTTCCCTACTGGTTACTGTATTTATCTATTATAAAATTACGTTTTAGCAGTTTAAATAACGAGTTCAATGTGTCAAAATTAAGCAAACGAGTGTGTGCTTGTTTGTGTTTTGATATCATAAAACTGATTAAATATGGTAAAGCTTAACGTTATCCTGCTTTAGTGTAAATAAACACTTATGCGAACTTGCGAAGAGAATGTGTGCTCCTGAACTACTTTCTAACGTTATGGGATGCTGTTTGATTTGTAATGTAATATGCAGTTTGTAATACATGTAATGCTGTGTGACTTGTGTAATTGTCAGAGAAACTACTCGGAGAAGTCTGGATCAGAGGGCTCAGAGGATGATGACTATGTGCCGTATGTTCCTGTTAAGATTAGAAAACAGCAGATGGTAAGCAATCTCTATTACAGCATGGTTATTGATTGTCATGAGAAATGTGTTTTTGTTTGTCAGCTCTGTTGGATATTTGCTATGGTTCTTGAAAAACTCTGTCTCATTCTTTTGCTGTGACCCTCAGCTCCATAAGGTGATGCGTCTGCGTGGGAAAGGGCTCACGGAAGAGGAACAGAAAGACAGCGGTGAAGAGCAGAAAGATGAGGATGAGGGTCTGGGCCCCCGATCCAATGTCAGTCTGCTGGACCAGCACCAACACCTCAAGGAGAAAGCTGAAGGTCTTTACACCCTCCCCTGTGCTTCATTATTTGTTTACAGTCAACCTTTTTTACTCAGGGCCTCCCACTGTCTTAACAATATTTGAAGGCCTGAAGAAGACTCTATCTATCTATCTATCTATCTATCTATCTATCTATCTATCTATCTATCTATCTATCTATCTATCTATCTATCTATCTATCTATAATTACTGACCCCAATCTTTTGAACGGTAGTATATATTGTTACAAAAGATTTCTATTTTAAATAAATGCTGTTCTTTTTTAAAATTTGTATTCATTAAAGAATCCTGAAAAAAGTATCACAGGTTATAAAAAATATAAACAACTCTTTCCAATATTGATGGTAAATCACCATATTATAATGGTTTCTGAAAAATCACGTGACACTGAAGACTGGAGTAATGGCTAATGAAAATTCAGCTTTGCATCACAGAAATAAATGATATTTTTAAGTATATTAAAATTTAAAACCATTATTTTAAATTGTAGTAAAATTTCACAATATTACAGTTTTTCTGTATTTTTGGTCAAATAAATGCAGGCTTGATGAGCATAAGAGACTTCTTTCAAAAACATAAAAAATGGTGTTTGCAAACTTTTGACCGGTACTATGTATGTTCGTACGGAAACAACTTTGATTGTCTTTGGTGCATCAGTCATTTCAAACTTTCAGTTGAGGTATTTAGTTTTTGGGGTTTTAATTAAGTTTTTTAGTGAATTACTTTCATAAATGTTTTTTTTTTATCACAATTTTTAGCTTGTTTAACCTGTGTGTAAAATATAATTTAAACCTGGAAATAAAAAAAGATCTAAGATTTTAGTTTTGAAAATTAAAATAAAATTTATGATGGAAATGTATAAATATGACAGATTATTTTTAATTTATTTTTTAAAATGTTTTCACTTAAATTATACTTGTAGTACGGTATAGTTTCAAAAGGAAAAACATATATAGGCCTATATTAATCTTCTTGAGTGTTCTCTGTTTCTTCCATAATGTTTGTTTATTCTCAATTATTACATTAATAATTCTAGCTCGAAAGGAGTCTGCAAAGGAGAAGCAGTTGAAAGAGGAAGAAAAAATTCTGGAAAGTGTGGCTGAAGGCAGAGGTAAGCTAAAACAGAATAATTTGCCAGGTTCTTAAATGTATTGGTAAAAAGTATTTATTATCATAAACCTGCTCAATATCTTTATCAGCTCTAATGTCCGTGAAGGAAATGGCCAAAGGAATCACATACGATGACCCAATAAAAACAAGGTGAGCTGACTTTCACTCCAATAATTTGTCAAGTCATGTGTGTTTGCATTAAAGACAACACCAAATAATTTCTGATATTCCCTTCAGCTGGAATGCGCCACGTTACATTCTCGGCATGCCGCCAGCACGGCACGAACGTGTACGGAAGAAGTACCATATTCTTGTTGAAGGTGAAGGCATTCCACCACCCATTAAGAGCTTTAGAGAGATGAAGCTTCCTCAGGGTAAGATCCATCTCACCTATTTTACATGCTGCCCCTCACTCACAGCTTCACGCTAATGGCCCGCTCTTAACTCTAATGGTCTTTGCAGCCATCCTGAAAGGACTGAAGAAGAAAGGAATCGTTCACCCAACACCCATTCAGATTCAGGGAATACCAACCATGTGAGTTCCATGTGGGGCTGTTTTGCTTGGGGCGATTTTCAATCATTATCTTACAGTGTCAGGGGGCTTTAGATGGTTTTAGCTTGGTGTTCATTTAAAAAAGTACATATAGACATTTAGCTTGAATTTTAATAAAAAATATTTTAATATTCTCATTTTAAAGTGTGTGAACGTGTGTGTATATATATATATATATATATATGTATGTGTGCATATATATATATATACAGTATATGATTATTATATACAGTATATATATATACATACACACACACACACACACATACATACTGTACATATGGCATATACACATTTCAAAATATTAACATTGTTTTATAAACTTGTGTTTTTGTTTGTTTGTTTAGTCTCTATGGCAGGGACATGATTGGCATTGCCTTCACCGGCTCAGGAAAAACCCTGGTTTTCACGCTGCCCATCACTATGTTTTGTCTGGAGCAAGAGAAACGGCTACCCTTCTGTAAGAGAGAGGGACCCTACGGCCTCATCATTTGCCCTTCTGTAAGCCCACTCTGTCTCTCACACATCCTGTGTCATCTGCTAGAAATATGACAGTAAAAATTAAAGCAGATTACCTATATGTAACAATATTTCACAAAATTACTTCATATAAATCGCAAGTCAAGAGTCAGATGGCAGCAGTATGGTAATTTATATTGCACGTCTTTCTCTTCGTCTGTAGAGGGAGCTCGCGAGGCAGACACATAGTATCATTGAATACTACTGTAAACTCCTAGAGGATGAAGGGGCTCCACAGTTGCGCTGTGCGCTGTGTATTGGGGGCATGTCCGTCAAAGACCAGATGGAGGTTGTAAAGCAGTAAGTCAAATTATTTAAATTTACACCATGACATTTAAAAAAAGAAAAGGTCATAAAATACCAGGGCGTCATACTGGGTCTTTATTTGGATGCTGATTTAGTTGAAAATCCCTTATAAACTTATGAATGATGATGTGATTGTAGTGGGGTGCACATGATGGTGGCCACTCCTGGCAGACTGATGGACCTGCTGAACAAGAAGATGGTGAGTCTGGATATCTGCCGCTATCTGGCTCTGGATGAGGCTGACAGGATGATTGACATGGGTTTTGAGGAGGACATTAGGACCATCTTCTCTTACTTTAAGGTACTTTTCTGCACATCTCATGATTAGGCAACCCGATTATAGAACATTTAGTCAGTAAATATAATGAAATGTCACTGCCCTTTTCAATGTTTTCCTGAATATGTAGTGGTTTGATCATCAAGGGTAATTCATCAGGATAAGAGTTTTTTTTGCCCAATATGTCTCTGCTTTAGGGTCAGAGACAAACGCTGCTCTTTAGTGCCACTATGCCCAAGAAGATCCAGAACTTTGCCAAAAGTGCTTTAGTGAAACCCATCACTATTAACGTGGGCAGAGCTGGAGCTGCAAGCTTGGACGTCATCCAGGTAAGACATTAAAATGAAGGCCCAGCATTATTCTTTCCTCACGTTCCATTCAATCCTTTTACTTGTTTTGTGAAATTCTATCATCATTTACTCAGCCTCACGTCGATCCAAACCTCTATGACTTTATTTCTTTTGTGGAACATGAAAGAAGATATTTTGAAGAATCTTGGTTACCAAACAGTTTCAGCTCCCAAATGACCGCCAGAAGTCAATGGGAACTGAAACGGTTTGGTTACCAACATTCTTCAAAGTATCTTCCTTGATGTTCTGCAAAAGAAAGAAATGCATACAGATTTGGAATGACAAGAGGGTGAGTAAATTATGACTGTGTATAATACACTACCGTTCAAAAGGGGGTTGTTTTTGGAAGAAATTAATTATTTTATTCAGCAAAGATGCATTAAATTGATCAATGTGGTAATAAAGGCATTTAAGATGTTACAAAAGATTTCTATTTCAAATAAATGTCTGTTCTTTTGATATTTCTATTCATCAAATATCCTGAAAAAAAAAGAATTACGCTTTACACAAAATATCAAGCAACTCTTTTTGACATTTATAATAATATGAAATGTTTCTTGAGCAGCAAATCAGCATATTAGGATTTCTCTAGGATCATGTGACACTGAAGACTGAAATGCTGAAAGTTCAGCTTTGCCATCACAGTAATAAATAAAAAAAATGAATATATTGAAATGGAAAACAGATATTTTGAATTGTAGTGATGTTTAATGATTTTAACATTTTTATTTTTGATCATAAGAGAACATTAAAAAAAATCTTGCCAACCCCAAACTTTTGAACATTAGCGTATGCTAATGAATCTGAACCGAAAGCTTTTCTTAAAGACGTCCTCACTTTAATTTGTGTGTTTTAGGAAGTAGAATATGTCAAAGAGGAGGCCAAAATGGTTTATCTCCTGGAGTGTCTTCAAAAGACCCCACCTCCGGTACGTAGCCTCTCGTTCTTTTTAAACCACATCTGAGAACCCTACATTATCTCTTCTAAAGGTCATACTTCGTACATTGTGTCTTAGGTATTAATCTTTGCGGAGAAGAAAGCAGATGTAGATGCCATACACGAGTATCTTCTGCTGAAAGGTGTGGAGGCAGTGGCTATTCACGGAGGAAAAGGTACCACATCATCCATCTCAATCTGCTTGTAAAGCACACACCATCAATCAGCAGTATGCACGCTGGCTCCTGCAGCTACAGACGCTCTCCACCGGGTGTCAGTTTCTGCTGCAGTGTGGCTCCTATCATAGTGCTAAACCAGTGTTCAAACTATGTCAGAACTTTTGATCTCACTTGACCTCAAAGGAGCGATGAGTTTCTGTGGCTTCACTTGACACTGATCATATGCACTAGCTAATGCTGTTCACGTTACCTACAATATCTAATAGTCTGTTATGAATGTGACTGTTCAGTACAAAAGTAAACAGATCATACAGTTCAGCAACACACTCCTCAATTGTGCTTTTTAGACCAAGAAGAGAGAACGAAAGCCATTGAAGCATTCAAAGAGGGAAAGAAAGACGTCTTAGTGGCTACTGATGTTGCTTCGAAGGGTCTGGATTTCCCAGCTATCCAGCATGTAGTCAATTATGACATGCCAGAGGAGATTGAGAACTATGGTAGGTGTTCAGACGATTGTTTATTTAAAGTTTTGATTTTGTTTTCAGCCTTGTTGAGCATTTAATATGGTTCATGCAGTTCAAAATTTATTTAGAAGCCACACATGTAGGAATGTGTTTTAATTAATAAAATCTCAAAACAAGTGGCATTTATTTTAAATAACGGTAGTATAAGCACTCCTTTCACATTTGACAAAAGTTTATGAAACTAGCTTATTAAATAACTATATGCCACTTTTTTTTTTGTATGTTTACATTAAATTGTGACATTTATTCCACAGTCCACCGAATAGGCAGAACAGGTCGGTCTGGAAAGACAGGAATAGCAACAACATTTATCAACAAAGGATGTGGTAAGTTTTTTATTTTATAGATTGATCTTTAAATTCTCTCTTTCCTTTTTCCTTTTTATTTATTGCATCATTGCTTCTTCCGAAATAAAATGAGCACAAACAATAACTAATTATTTCCAAAAATATACTGTATAGATGTTATTGTGCATGTAAACTCTTGTTTTATTTCATAGATGAGTCTGTGCTGATGGATCTGAAAGCTCTTTTGGTTGAAGCCAAACAGAAGGTTCCTCCTGTACTGCAGGTCCTCCAAACGGGAGACGAGACGATGCTGGATATTGGAGGTACAAATTACATACTTATTGCTGAAACAAGCTTATATAGCCTTATATAGCTTACATGCACAACATTGTTGCAACATTTGCTTGATTGTGTAAAGAGGTTCAAAAGTACAAGATAAAGGCATTTTTGACTTCTGCTTTTCATTTCTAGGGGAGAGAGGATGTACATTTTGTGGCGGTTTGGGCCACAGGATCACAGATTGTCCCAAGTTGGAGGCCATGCAGACAAAACAGGTCACCAACATCGGCCGCAAAGACTACTTGGCCAACAGCTCCATGGATTTTTAATGCCGTCTACTCCTTCGATGTTAAATTCTTCATTGAGAGAGGCTTCAGTGTTATGTTTTATCTCATTTTGTACAAAATGTATTATTCATGGAACTGTACATTGTTTCATTAATTTCAGTGAACCTTTTGTTGCAAAATACAGCTTTGTATAAGTAAAAAATATATTAAAGTTAGTTAGTTCATGGAGTTTTCAGCAGGTTTTGCTCTATATTGATGTTCATGTAATTATGTAACAGCTGAACTGTTAAAGTATTTATCTGAAATCCACTCAGGCATGTTTTTGACAGTTAATTGTTTATTTGCTACACATCCAGTGTAAATATATGAACGTCAATTCATGCTCTTCGTTTTATGATGCAAACTGCAAATAAAATTCTTCTTTGAGATTACTTTGAGGATCTGATTACATATCTTTGCAACGTCCTGTTTATGACCAAGCTTGGCTGATTGTTAATAGAGAAGCACGTCAATGTAGTTCTCAGCGTTAGTAGGAAACCAGTGTGAGCCATTTTTAGGCATCTTCTCTCTCTCTCTCTCTCTCTCTCTCTCTCTCTCTCTCTCTCTCTCTCTCTCTCTCTCTCTCTCTCTCTCTCTCATCTCTCTCTCTCTCTCTCTCTCTCCTCTCTCTCTCTCTCTCTCTCTCTCTCTCTCTCTCTCTCTCTCCTCTCTCTCTCTCTCTCTCTCTCTCTCTCTGTTTTGTCACCTTCTGTAGAAAATACAGGAACTGGACAGGAGCACTTAGAGGCAAACTAGCACAATGGACGTAATCTCTAAAGAGGGGCCGCTCTTTTTGCAGGGGGTCAAGTTTGGGAAGGTAAGGTTGTTCATTGAAAATTATAATTAACACTTACACAAGGTGGAAATTGTGTGGCTTTAATTTTATTGATTCATTTTTTTAATTCTAGTATTAGTAGTACTATCATATTTGATGTGCTAGTTTTTATGCAACTTATGTTAATAGTATATTTTATAGTTTATTGCTTGAGTGTGAAGTTAGCCAGGCCGAGGTCATGGGTTAAACTTGCATGGGAGAACACATACTGATAAAATGTGATCATGTCAGACAAACGCATAAATATCAACAGATTTAAAGGAGATTAAAGTCAACCAAGTGATGAAAATCATTTTTTAATCATCATTTACTCTTGCCCTCATTTCATTCCAAAACTGCATAGCTTTCTTTCTTCTGCAGAGTATATATTTTTTTGTCCATACAATGTAAGTGAATGGACTCCAATGTTGTTTGGTTAACAACGTTCTTCAAAATATCATCTTGTGTGTTCTGAAGAAGAAAAGTCATACAGGTTTGGAACAACATGAGGGTGAGTAAATGATGACAGAATTCTTGTTTTCAGGTGAACTACTCCTTTAAAGTAATTACAATTTATTAGGTAGGAAGTAATGGAAAGGAAAAGGTAGGAAAATCATTGCTAATCAGTTATAACCGCATTTTTAATTATTTACAACTAGCCTTGGGAATTATAGGTGGTCAGAAATCTTCAACTGTACATTATTAATATAGAAGGGAAACGGCAGCTGGTTACCACCTGAGGTACTTCCATCTTCATGGTAGCGTTTAACAGCTATGAATCATGCATGGGAGATAAAACGAAGGAACTTTTCATAACTTCTGCTGCCGCCTCTGGCATGCCCTCCCAGATACTAACCAGTCCCAGTGGAGAGGAGTGCTGAACCAGGCAGTCTGATAAACCCTTCCGAGTTATGCCACAAAATAATTCATTTTCCTTGCTCTGTCTTTACCTCCATTAAAACATTCCCCTTGTTCCTGCAGAAGATATGGCGGAAATCCTGGCTGGTTCTGTTTGAGCCCAGCCCTGCAGGGATTGGTCGCATGGAGCTGTACGACATGCGTGATGGAGGGGGTCTGAAGGGGTTCGCCATGGGAAGGCCTGCGGGGCTCAGGAAGACGGACAAACGGGTGATTCGCCTGACAGACTGCCTGAGCATCACCCCGGCCCCAGGAGAGAGCTGTCCCACGGATTGCTCTGCCTTCTTTTTAAACACCACCTCATGCACCTACACCATCGCTGCTCCCACTCGAGAGGACTGGATCTCTGTTCTGTGCCAGCTGGCATTTCAGGTATGAGGATTTTGCAAAGTACAATATGTTCTTGGGTCAAACATTCCTGTCAAACAAACCCTATCCTTACCATAACTTTGACAATTACATTTCATTTACATATTTGGCTGATGCTTTTATTCAACGCTACTTATATTGCATTCAAGGTAGGCTATACATTGCATTAGTTCATGCATTCTCTGGGAATCGAACCCATGACCTTGGCATTGCTTACACTATTATGGAGTGTTTGAGCTACAAAAACTTGTACATCTCATTGCAACTTTTGAATGGAATATATTTGCCTGGGTGTTACTCTGGTTTTAAGAGGCAAACCATTTTCATGTCATGAAGTTATCTTTGAAAATCATGGATATGAAAGACAAGGATTGGAGCTGCTTGCCTTGCTAAATGCAAATCATTCTATAGTTGCCTTGACAAAAAAATTTAAGTTCAAAAGGTTACTTTACTAATTAGATGAGCAAAGGTTTTTAAGTTGGCTCAACCGGAGCGAATTATTTAAGTTAACCTAAAAAGTTGAGTGTGATAGTTTGGCTTGTTTTTTTTTTAATGATTTATTTATACATTTTTAGATAGTAAAACCAATTGTATATTGACCTTACAATAGAGAAGTAGTATCATCTAGGATGGTCATTGGTGGGCTTGGGGTCAGGGAATGGGGTCCTAAATCAAACACAGAGAGCAGGGTCAAGCTGGAGAGTTTGGATATGTTCACGAAGGGGTTGCCAAAGCTTGACACAAATAGAGCTAGGTCGGCGAAGAGAGTACCTAATTTTCTCTGATTTTTATGAAATAAAGAACATCTCTAACCCACCGAGAGTGAGATGGAGGGTGAGGGCTCTTCCAATTCAATAAAATTAAAAGTTAAAAAAGCTACAAAGTCTAAAAAATAAGAAGGCAAAGAATGGCCAGGCTGGAAAACACCAAATAAACCAATAATTGGACAAAGTGGTATTTCCACAGAGGTTATAGCTGACAATGAGACAAAAATTAGCCTCCAAAAGGAAGACAGTGCAGGGCAGGACCAGAACATATGAATTAAAGTGGCTGAACCAGAGTGACACCGGTCACACTCCACAATAGAGGGGTTTATGCGAGCTAACCTGGTTTTGGACCAGTGTGCTCTATGAACCACCTTGCACTGTATGAGTCTGTGACGTGCGCAAAGAGAGGAGGAGTAAACCCTGTTCAAGACTGCTTTCCATGTCTCCTCGTTGATGTCGGTCCTAATGTCTTGGGACCAGACAATGTGTAGGTTATCAGAGGAAAATTGCAACACTAATTTACAAATTGACCCTTTAGTACAAGGATCCACACTCAGAATGGTGTCCAAATCTGAAGGAGGAGGGGCATTTGGAAAGTTAACCATTTTTTAACGTACAAAGTCTCGAATTTGTAAATATCTGAAAAAAAAGGCTTTTGGGAATATTAAACTGGGAGGTCAACTGATCAAAAGAGGCAAAACACTATCAATATAAAGGTCTGCAATAGAAACCAATCCAAGGTCTCTCCAGGATGCATACGCACAATCCAAAATGGAGGGGTGAAACGAAGGGTTAGAATGTATTGGAGATAACAAGGGGGTATTATGAAGACCAAAATGCGGCAAAAATTGGGTCCAGATTTTAAGACAGTTTTTTTTAAGACCACCTGTAGCTCATTAGATAAATAAAAGTATTTTAGTTCAATTGGAGCGGATTAGATGCATTAAGTTGAAAAGTTGAGTGTGATATGTTGCCTTTTTTTGTTGTTGTTATGAGCCACTGCTAAAATCAAAGGGAAATTATTCAAATATATTATTGATAAATTGTTCAAGCAACTACGAACAAGGTTTTTGATCTAGGAACATATAATTGGATCCAGTCTCCTCTCAGAAGTTATCCGTTTTGACCCATTCATGTATCCAAAACCAGTTCAAGTTTTGTCTGACACCTAAAGCCCCCCATAAAGCAAGTCGTCATTAGATGGAAGTACATTTTACAAGTACTAAAGTGACTAAAGTCAACACATCCATTATGACAAACAGCTTCACACAACAGCTCGCCTGGCTGTCACAGAGGAAGTGTTGATAACCACACCTTTGAGTTTATGATTGCACAAAATAGGTCTTTCAAAGATTGATAGCATAAAAAGAGGAATTACTAATGTGCATTGCTATCAACTGCCTTGTTTTTTTTTTAGAAGACCCAAGGAACTGAAGATGCCAGGAAAGTCCAGAAAGATAAATACATGCCGCCGGCTGATAATCAACTGTACTCCACCTGGGGAGCAGGTGAGACTGGGGTCTGAAAATACACCTCGCTATAAGCAAAGCCTGATCCAGAACCACGATAACGACTAGCTACTGTTAAACTAGGTGTAACCAACTGTTTGTTGCAGTTAAGCAAGAGGATGTGTTTAATGATGCTGACGTACTTCTGTTTCCATTATGTGGTCCTGTATCTATATGTAGGTCTAAAATAATAAGAAAAGAGCACAGAAATAATCACTCTCACACATACTATTTGATAAACAGAGAGAATCATTGTCAAGCATTTAAAAAATGTAATTGAATTACATGATATGATGATTAATTATTAAAATTATTCACAAATAATGGCATAGATCAATTTTTGCTGAGAAAAATCCCTAAAATGAAGACCGTTCAAAGACATTATTGTGGTAGATAAATCAAAAAAAGTTATAAAAAAAGTGTCAAAATATTTTTTATCTCCTTATCTTTGAACATTTAGTCTAAAAGTGTTCAGGTTTCAGTCTAAGTTCTTGTCTTTTTATCCTTCCTATATTGTATTTTATTTTATTGTCGGTTTTGTGTACTCGTGCAGATGGCCATCTTTGGTGTTGCATCATATCTTGCTGTGCGTTTCAGCATCTTGAGATAGAAGTCTTATTTAGAAGTAGTCTGGTGAGAAGTTACAGGTCTTGTTTTTTTAACTTGTACATTTTATTTATTTAAAACATTTTGGGATCTACCTTCCTCTTTCTCATAAATAAATATTATGCAGCGCATTCCTAGTTTCCTAGCATTTTCTCAGTATTAAAATGCTCACCCAGAGATGCGTTAAATATAAATGATAAGAAGTCTAGTCTCAGAGAAACTGGTGGTCAGTCTCAAGATGACTTGCAACACTGATAATGCAAATGCTTTGAAACACGAAGTAACGGTTATCTGATATCTGTTTTTGAGCCACACAGATAAACTGCTGTTGGACAATAGATCTATGTGTGCATAAAAGGTGTTAGAAACTAAGGACCCTCAGTACATACCCTAGAGAAAAATAAATTATGCTAATTATACTACAAATAAAAGTACATATTTCCAGTATGTACTTAATATGAATACCCTGCAATCGTACCTTTAGCATACTAAATTGGTATACTTAAAGTGTGCTAAATTGGAAAAAACGAATTTAGTACTAAATGTTCTTTAGTTATCCAGAAATAGTGCTGAATTTGCATATTCATGTGTGTGTGTGTGTGTGTGTGTGTACAGGTCCTTCTCAAAAAATTAGCATATTGTGATAGTTAATTATTTTCCATAATGTAATGATAAAAATTAAACTTTCATATATTTTAGATTCATTGCACACCAACTGAAATATTTCAGGACTTTTATTGTTTTAATACTGATGATTTTGGCATACAGCTCATGAAAACCCAAAATTCCTGTCTCAAAATATTTGCATATTTCATCCGACCAATAAAAGAAGTGTTTTTAATACAAAAAAAAAGAGTCAACCTTCAAATAATTATGTTCAGTTATGCACTCAATAGTCAATACTTGGTCGGGAATCCTTTTGCAGAAATGACTGCTTCAATGCGGCGTGGCATGGAGGCAATCAGCCTGTGGCACTGCTGAGGTGTTATGGAGGCCCAGGATGCTTCGATAGCGGCCTTAAGCTCATCCAGAGTGTTGGGTCTTGCGTCTCTCAACTTTCTCTTCACAATATCCCACAGATTCTCTATGGGGTTCAGGTCAGGAGAGCTGGCAGGCCAATTGAGCACAGTAATACCATGGTCAGTAAACCATTTACCAGTGGTTTTGGCACTGTGAGCAGGTGCCAGGTCGTGCTGAAAAATGAAATCATCTCCATAAAGCTTTTCAGCAGATGGAAGCATGAAGTGCTCCAAAATCTCCTGGGGCCAGTTGCACCAACAGGGCTTACGCCTGGTCTTAAGGTAAGTAGGTCTTAACTCAGCATTCTAAATCCGACCTAATAGTTACGACTGTTGCACCATCCAGGCTTAAGTCCTCTTCTCGCTAAGACCGGGCGTAAATCTTACGCCTAGTCAGTAGCAGGCGTAAAGTCAAAATCTAGGCATATAATGGCGTTAATAGGCCTATCCGTTTTCCGACAGATAATGTTAAAGTGAAGTGATTTTGCACTAAAAGCAAGTGATCGTTCATTGAATCGTTAAAATGATTCGTTGAAAACGGTCAACAATCTTTGCTGTCTGTTGCATGGAGACTGCTATGGTTTCATTTTGAAATTCTCATCAGCGAAATAAAGGGGAAACAAACAATATTCACAATATTGTGTCTAAAAAGTAACTCACAATGTTAACTTATTTTTAATTTAACTGTTGTATAAAAATAAATATCACATTTGCAATTGTGCACATGAAAACGGCACTTTAATAACATAATATGATATAAATATAAGACAAAAAACTTATTTGGGGACATACCTATAACTGCAGTAACACATCACGCAGTGAAAACAAGCACGAGAAACAAATGTGCCTCGTCCATAGTTAAAACAATGATTACAATATCATCATAGACGATACACAGCACACACTCCTTAGCACATAAAGAATGAACTTACAATTGAACTGACATTTATTACCAACGTTCTTCTACCTCTCCTCTCGCGTGCAGGAGACAGACGTAATGCTGCCGCGAATGAAGCGAATTGTCACGTGCTGACTGTACAGCTCTATTAACTTTAAATTTCCTTTCCTTTTTCTTTGATCCTCCATTGAAACGGCTACAAGTTAACAAAACAGCAGAAGATTGTTTACAGCGTAACCCAGCAACACACGCTGCTAGGCAACCACTAGAGTTCCATGGCCATTCACATGAACACGCAACGCTAAGACCAGGCGTAGTTAAGCCTAGGCTTAAGTTTGGTTGGTGCAACCGACGTTAGGTCAACTCTAAAGACTGGTCTTAACTAAGACCTACTTAGCAGTTAGGACCAGGCTTAGTAAAGCCCTGTTGGTGCAACCGGCTCCTGATAGCTAGCTGCATTGACCCTGCCCTTGATAAAACACAGTGCACCAACACCAGCAGCTGACATGGCACCCCAGACCATCACTGACTGTGGGTACTTGACACTGGACTTCAGGCATTTTGGCATTTCCTTCTCCCCAGTCTTCCTCCAGACTCTGGCACCTTGATTTCCGAATGACATGCAAAACTGAGCAACAGTCCAGTGCTGCTTCTCTGTAGCCCAGGTCAGGCGCTTCTGCCGCTGTTTCTGGTTCAAAAGTGGCTTGACCTGGGGAATGCGGCACCTGTAGCCCATTTCCTGCACACGCCTGTGCACGGTGGCTCTGGATGTTTCTACTCCAGACTCAGTCCACTGCTTCCGCAGGTCCCCCAAGGTCTGGAATCGGTCCTTCTCCACAATCTTCCTCAGGGTCCGGTCACCTCTTCTTGTTGTGCAGCGTTTTTTGCCACACTTTTTCCTTCCCACAGACTTCCCACTGAGGTGCCTTGATACAGCACTCTGGGAACAGCCTATTTGTTCAGAAATTTATTTCTGTCTTACCCTCTTGCTTGAGGGTGTCAATGATGGCCTTCTGGACAGCAGTCAGGTCGGCAGTCTCACCCATGATTGCGGTTTTGAGTAATGAAACAGGCTGGGAGTTTTTAAAAGCCTCAGGAATCTTTTGCAGGTGTTTAGAATTAATTACTTGATTCAGATGATTAGGTTAATAGCTCGTTTAGAGACCCTTTTCATGAAATGCTAATTTTTTTAGATAGGAATTTTGGGTTTTCATGAGCTGTATGCCAAAATCATCAGTATTAAAACAATAAAAGACCTGAAATATTTCAGTTGGTGTGCAATGAATCTAAAATATATGAAAGTTTAATTTATATAATTACATTATGGAAAATAATGAACTTTATCACAATATGCTAATTTTTTTTTAGAAGGACCTGTATATATTAGCTCAAGATTTAAGTTTGATTTTAGACCAATTATTCATGTAATCAATTTCACTACTTCATAAGTCTTGGCCACCCCTGTAAAATATATTTTATTTTGTCTTTCATTCCAGAGGTCTGACATCACAGGGTTTGTCCAGAGAGACTTTGGTTTGATGTTTTTATGAATTCCACCCCACAGGCCAGTTCCAGGTGACAGTGCAGAGCACAGATGCGTCTCAGAGGTGCAGGATGTCTGGGTCATACCTGCTGTCTTCTGAGAAAGAGGCTATTTGCCTGCTGGACCTCAAGACCGGACAGTCCATCTACCGCTGGCCCTACAGACTGCTCCGGAGATTTGGCCAAGTCAAGGTGCTTCATGAGGAATAAAGAGATATGTAACCCTCTGACTCAACATTTTTGCTTGTATAAATTATATATATATTAAGTATATATATATATATATATATACACACACACATATGTCAAGTCAAGTCAAGTCAAATATATTTATATAGCGCTTTTCACAATACAGATTGTATCAAAGCTGCTTCACATTATCAATCAAAACAACTTAACAGTGTTTGTTTATTACTGGAAAAAGACATCCAAGTTTGGTAGAGCTGATCAGTGGTATGATGGGTCATTTAATTTGAATATCCCCAACTGAGCAAGCCAAAGGCAACAGTCGCAAGGAACCGAAAAACTCTATCAAGTGACCCGATGGTGTCCTAAAACTCCATCAGATGACCCAATGGAGAAAAAAAAAACCTTGGGAGAACCCAGGCTCAGTCGGGGCCAGTTCTCCTCTGGCGTTTATGAAGTAGATATATATATCCCTAAAGGACCATGATTGAAAACCACTGTCTTATGGCACGTTTACATGACGACGATGTACTAAAAACTGAAACGTTTTTCATGTGCATTTTTTTGCGTACAGATGACAACTTTGTCAAAACGATCCCCGTTCTCACGGATCCGCGAAAACGACTAAAACGTTGTATTCTGCTGTCAGGCCAGTAGTTGGCGATTTCACTTTGTAAAGAAACACTATGTGCCTATAGGGATAGGCAACGTCGATTCTGGGGTGCCACTGTCCTGCAGAGTTTAGCTCTAACCCTAATCGCACCTGAGCAAGCTAATCAATGTCTTCAGGATTACTAATGCTAAAGGCAGGCGAGTTTATATCAGGGTTGGAGCTAAACTCTGCAGGACAGTGGCACTCCAGGATCGACGTTGCCTATAACAGTAATACGCACATCACCGTTTTCAAATTTGCATTTTTTGTTGTTTTGGTGATAACGGTATAGTTTTCAAAAACGTACACTTTTGAAAAACCCGTTTTCAAAAGCTTGCGTTTTCAGTCTTTCAAAACGCAGTTGTCGTGTAAATGAACGGCCTAAACGCATAAAACATATTCCGTTTTGAATTAAAAATGGTTTCATATAAATGGCCCCTTATGCTCACAAAGGTTGCATTTAGTTGATAAAAAAAATACAGTAAAAAAAAGGTAATATTGTGAAATACTATTACAATATTAAAATAGATTGTTTTTTATATTTTATTATTTATTTCTGTGATGTCAAAGCTGAATTTTCAGCATCATTACTCCAGTCTTCAGTGTCAAATGATCCTTCAGACTTCATTCTAACATGCTAATTTGGTGCTCAAGAAACATTTCTTATAATTATAAATGTTGAAAACAATTGTGCTGCGTTCAATTTTTGTGGAAAGTTCTTCTGGATTCTTTGATGAATAGAAACGGAATGTATTGGCATTTTTTTGTAACATTATAAATGTAAATACTGTCACCTTTGAGATATATATATCAAGTATATCTAGTAAAATGATATTGAATCATGGTATTTGTTTTGTAAGGAGGGTCTTTAATGATTGAAAATATTGAATTGTTTTCTTGTTTCAGTTTTTTGAATATACGTGAATAGAAGTTGTTGCATTTGAACTATTTATGTCTTTTCAGGGGGGGATTATGATCGAGGCTGGTCGTCGCTGTCACACTGGGGAGGGTCAGTTCATTTTCTTGTCAAAACAGGGGTCACAAATACACAGGGCCATTGAGGAGGCCATCATGCACCAGAGTGTCCAAGAACTGCTGGCACAAGCTACTGCTCTTCCGCAAGAGTTTGCACCCCAGCCCCCCTCCCCTCAAAGCAAACCACAGGACAGGTCTACGATGAAAATGCTTCCTCCAATCAGCACGAACCAAGAGCGACCGCGCCCAGCATTAAAATGCAAATATGGACAGCCGATACACAAAGCCATTGAGGAGGTTCTCGTACACCAGAGTCTCCAAGAGCTGCTGCCACCATCCAAACCCCTTCCACTACCCATTTCACCAAAACCCAAAACTAAAGTCAATAAGTATTATCCAGTCAGCAAGAATCAGGAAAGACCTTGCTCACCTGCACTGCAGAAATATGGGCAGACGAAACACAGGGTCATGGAAGGAGCTCTCACACACCAAAATGTCCAAGAGCTACTGGCATCATACAACCCTCCTCAACAAGCTCCTCCACTGCCGCCACCCTTGCCTAAAACCAAACCACGGGACAGGCCTAATGTTAAAAAGCATCCTCCGGCTAACTTAAATCAAGAAAGACCATCTCCTGCACAATCACGCAAAAACATCTCCTTACCAGATCCACCTTCTAGCGCTGTGAATAGCCCAGATGATGTTTTGTATTCAATAATATTTCCACAACCAAAACCAAGAACAAAAATGAATCTCCCCGGAGTGTCAACACCTCCCAGTCTACCACAACACTTTGGATTTCACATGAATCCGGATACAGATGTAATTGTGGAGAAAGAGAAGGAATGGAAATCATCTCAAGAACCTTCTGAGAGCAGCGATGATGAGGCTCACTACACTAACTGGACTGCTAAGACTACTGCCGAACAGGATCAACCCGATATTGAGGATCTGTATAGCAAAGTGAATTTTGCCTCCAAGCTTAAGAACAGACAGACTGAGGACAATAATGGTCAAGAGCAGCCAAACGCTGGTCAACAAACTCCCGTGATCACTTCAAGCGAAATCTCTGTCGACTTTAAACAGACCCTTTCTAGCATTCTTTTTAGAGAGCTGTCTAAAATACCACCCGCATTTCCTTCCAGGTCACATGGGGGAAGTTGCGATCGGATAGACAATATAGATGAGGAGATGACTGATTAAGGGTTCTATGTCTATAGTTGAGGTCACTGCTAGCCTGATAAATGTAAGTGATATGTTTTATACTGTGCGGTAAGTTACCACATAGTTTTTCAATAATAATGTACAGAATATGTGAGAGAGGCTAATGGTTAAATCTAGAGAAAACTGTATGATATGAATACTAAAGTAAATGATTTTATTAGAAAAGTCTTTGTAAAAATGTGTATTACTAACCAATATATCAAAAATTGTCTAAAACAATTGGTCGCTGGCATGAAATAGTTGGGTGCGGTTGTTGCCTCTGTGTCTTTTAAAGGGAAAGGAACTATATAAGTTTCTTTCTTCTGTTGAAGAAAGTATTTTGAAGAATGTTGGTAACCAGACTGTTGATGGTAGCCATTGACTTAGTATTTTTTTTTTTCTACTATGGAAGTCGATGGCTACCATCAACTGTCTGGTTACCAACATTCTTCAAAATATCTTCTTTTGTGTTCAACAGAAGAAACTCATACAGGTTTGGGACAACTTGAGGAATAGTGAATGATGACACAATATTTATTTTTGGATAAACTATCACTTTAATGCAGCGTTTCCCAACCCTGTTCACAGATTTTGGACGTCTCCCTTATTACCTGACACATCTGCAGGTGAAACTCGAAAAATTAGAAAATATCGTGCAAAAGTTCATTTATTTCAGTAATTCAACTTAAAAGGTGAAACTAATATATTATATAGACTCATTACATGCAAAGTGAGATATTTCAAGCCTTTATTTGTTATAATTTTGATGATTATGCTTACAGCTTATGAAACCCCCAAATTCAAAATTAGAATATTGTGAAAAGGTTTTCATAGCTCTAAGCCTAAATCCCTCTAATCATCAAAATGATAACAAATAAAGGCTTGAAATACCTCACTTTGCAGTAATGAGTATAATATATTAGTTTCACCTTTTAAGTTGAATTGATTTAAGAAATTGGTTGCAATAATGCTGACTCAATTGAAATGGCATAAGGCCGGGTGGTACGGAAACTCGTTAGTGTCTTCATAATTTTAAGGTTGAACAAAGGTCATAGTTCCATACCTGATTTGTTGACATTGGGAACGCGTGTAACTTTTTTTTAACGATTAGCCTACTTGTTTCAGTCGTGAACAAATCTGTTGAATGAATGCTTTAAACGACTCACACAACACACTAAAATACACTTAGGCTACTTTGTCGCCAACTACTGGAGAAACTGTAACTAAAGAAAGAGCGATCGAATCTGAATGACTATTTTTGGTAAACGGTTTCAAAAGCTGAATATTATACCGGATGAAACGACCTGTGCTGATTATTATTATTATTATTATTTTATTTTTTAAATAGGCTAAGTGCAACGTTTTTCTGTCATTCAGATTGCTGTAACCAATGTATGACTAATCGAAGCAATCCAGATAAATATATGAAAAGAAAATCTTTATTAAACTTTTGAGGTAATAAAAAACCACAAAGAGACATAAATAACATTTTTGTCATTATTGATGAAGGTTTTGTACACGTGGAATGGAAAAATCCAAATGTAGGCAATCGTCTGTCTTAAAGTGCAATTAAAGGGCTTGTAGCCTATATTTTGTCCCCTTCCCTTTTTGTGAGTTTCAGAAATGTTGTCAATCAAGTATAGACTAATGAAGCATTGTCTAGAAGAACTAACCATTATCAACAGGGCCTATCTATTTGGTTCCTTCAGTGTCTACTAAAACACAGACAAATAAATTATGATTATTCAGAGTGCCACAGTCTCAAAGTCTATCCAGCAAAGCCATCAGCGTCCTCCAGTCTGTCCTTCTTCGATGTCGCTGAAATGGGACGATTCGCCATCACTCGCATTTAACGTGACATCATTTTTCTCCGGAGCAAAATTAGAAGGTGCGTCCATTGCGTAAGGGATGCTGGTCCTCAAAGCCTGAGCTGAACTCCTCTGACCATGGTTGCCAGATGCGCTGCATCCATCCCTCAGATCTCTGCACTCCGACTGCACAACACCTTCCAACAAATCGGACAGTTCTGTGATGTAAATCTGCGCCATCTGAAGGGTGTCATATTTAGAGAGTTTTTTCTCGTTCTCCAGGGACGGAATGACGCTCCTCAGTTTGTCAAACGCTCGGTTCAGTCCGTGCATCCTCCGCCTTTCTCTCGCGTTAGCGGCCACACGTCTGTGTCTTTGAGGTCCGGGGGGATTTGGCTTGGAACCCCCATGTGCTTTAGATCCTCCCAAATCAGATTCCGATGTCAAAGGACTGTTGTCTCCAGACATGTACTCGTCCATGGCGGCATCCACCGACGTGTGAGTGTAGTGGTCGCCTGCGGATGAGTACGCGGGGGTCGCGGAGGTCATCCAGGCCCGTGGGTCACTGCGGGTCAACCTCGGATGTTCAGAGAGAGAAAACTCGTCCGGTCGTCCCCGAAATTTTCCATCTGACCAGTGCAAAAGTTTGGTTTTTGCGGTCATGGCTGATATAATGTAGGCTACAAAAAAAATAAAAAAATAAAAAAATCAAGTATGGAGAATGCTGAACTCAATCTTGGTGCCTTGGGTGGGCCCTTTACCTTCAGACAGGATCCTTGTCGGCCTTATAGTGGCATCACCTCCCTCCCTCCTCCCCTGAATGCTCCTGTTGAGTGCTCACAGCCAATAGAAAATGCTCCTCAAACTTCCATAGAATAAAGAGTTGTTTTTTTCTTCCTCACATGTCCTGGGGTGATAGAAGATTTTCCAAAGAATGATCACAACACAGATTAGAATTTAATCAACTGGAATTTTAACATTTGCTTTAACCTAACTAATTTAGCCTACTTTGGATTTAAATAGCATATATAATATTTATGTCAAAAATATGTTTTGTTTTATTTACATCTACAGCAATCGTGACATATTTTGTGATGTGTTTTCTGTGTTGTTTTAATAAAAAATTATAATAATAAAACAGAGTCTTGTATTAGCCTATATATCTAAAAAGTTAAAATAGGCTAGTCAGAAGAACTCAAATCTCAAACCTCAGAGGACTTGATCTAACATCCTTATCCACTTTATTCAAGATAAGCAACGGAATTGGTATCCAATAAAATCTAGCAAGAAACTTGCATAGCAGCGTCATATTTCTTCTCAAATAAACTGTAAAATCCGCAGCAATAAAACGAGCAGCTGGAAAGCAGGACGTGAGTCGCACCTGTCACAGAAGTCCAGGAAAACTGATAAAGTGTCTTCAGTCTCGTCATAAATCATTTAGCAATGAAGCAAAACAATATTTGGACAAATCATAGGTGGAGACGCTCAGTAACAACACACGAAACGACCATGTTGTTTAGAGTTAAAGAAAATAATTTAATGCAATTAGCCTATTAATTCTTCTTCTTCTTCTTTTTTTTTATTAAGCCAGCAGTTAACTTAACTTAAGTCTTAATGATGTTTTAAACAAAACACCATTTTTTTCTTTTTAAATGTGCTTATAGTGTAAACAAAAAAAAATCTCGATATAGATGATAAATTGTGTAGGCGTGAGTCTGAACGGAAACTGCGTGTTACCTCCTCAGGCGAAGGGGACTTCTGTTCGCGAGCGTAGGCTATAGGCTATAACCAACTTGTGGTTAGTGAAAAACATTGAAAAACGCCGTTGAAAGGTAGCATAGCTAGCCTATGTATTTGCCTGTTTGTATTGTGTATTTTTTTTTACTTGTTTGTATGTGCATGCCATTAATTTTGGCCAATCAAATTAGGTAAATGCATAGAGAAGCAGACGCCTTAACTATGTCAACATTGTGTAAACGACATGCCTGTTTTGAACAGCAGGGGCTAGGGAGTCACTGATGTTTTCATAGGTCTATTTCTTGTTTATTTGTTTTTAAAATTTCTTTAACGTCCAAGTCAACGTCTTTTAACACGAGACTGTTTTGCAGAGAGAGAGAGAGAGAGAGAGAGAGAGAGAGAGAGAGAGAGAGAGAGAGAGAGAGAGAGAGAGAGAGAGAGAGAGAGAGAGAGAGAGAGAGAGAGAGAGAGAGAGAGAGAGAGAGAGAGAGAGAGAGAGTATGATGACAGTGGCCCCTCTGAGGCTGCTCTTCGTGAGAGTTGAATAGAGTAGCAAACTTCAGCCCAGTCATCTGTTGTCCCCTGGCACCCGTCTCACAGTCAGAGGCCGACACTAACGTCTCCCATATGCTGCGACGCGACCAACCAGGGATCGTTTAACTTTCACACTTTTTCCCCCTCGTCCATGACAGTGTTAATCACTGAGCACTGCAACATCATCATTTTAATTTACAGGGGCCAGCTCTCCTCGAGCCTCACGCGCAGTTCTTATAAAAAGTAGCCAATGAAAATAATAGTCAAAATTACATATGCTTCTTTAAAATCATAGTTAAGTAGGCTATTCTTCCTTTTCAAAAACTGCTCTGTATGTTTTTTGAAATATAAATATAATTATAATAAGCTAGACGTCATGGGCTGTGTTTGGACGGCTAGACGTCTTTTAAACGCAAAAATCCTTTCTAGGCTCATAGCATGCAGCATCTAAATTTAGCCCACGAGTTTAAGTTCAGTTTTAAAAATAAGCTAGGCTACATTTTGTTTAATTTATGTAATTTGTTGTTTAATATCGTTCTTTTTGGTGGCAGTGGCGGCAAATAACACAGTAATGATATATATTTTGACATATAACTGCAAGTAGCCTATGTGGTCAACTATTTGTAGGCTATACGACTTTTAAAAAAAATACATTTGGTATTTCTGCATTTGCTGAACATAGAAAAAAAAAACATCAAAACAGAGGCACAGAAGAATAGACATGATAAACTATAGGCCTACCCTGTTTTATCTGAATAGGCCAATTATTTTTCTGAAACTCCAAAGGGAAGGTCTGAAATTCCTCTCTGTTGGTGTGTGTGTGTGTGTGTGTTTGGAGACAGGCGGTAGATGTTAAATGTTGGTAAGGAAATCAGCGTGACCTGCTAGCCAGTCATCGGGTTAATGAGGCTTGCGCGAGCTGAATAAATGGGCACGCTCTCCGCGCAGGGGTTCTCCATTCATTTTTTACATGAATATTTAATTCTCGCTACCCTACTGCCAGCGCAACAGCCTGCAGCCCTGAGCAGACAGAGACACACTCCCCATCTGCTGTATAGGCCTTGAGACGGGGGTGGCGGACGGTGCAGGACCGCGGAAGGTGTTGGGAACATATCAAAGGTCAATTTATGAGCTCCCATGGCGTCATTATTGTTATTGATGCACAGTGTTTAGTGAGGTTTTGGCAGAAAAGCGTCAAAAGTGATGAGTGATTAATGAAAAAAAAAAAAAAAAAACAGACAATAGGCTACAGAAGTATGGATGCAATTAATATGATAGTTTTCGCTTATAAATTCTGAAAATTAATTGTTTCAATAAGAATTTGAATAATTGTTCATCCTGATTGACATTAATAAGACAACCCAAATGACCACACACCCTTTGTCAAATGTCAGCTTATTTTACTGATTTATATGCTTTATTTGTGATATTTACATATTTAATTAAGTAATAAATAAGCGCATTATAAATTTTGTCAAGTGCTCAAAGATTATAGATCTAGTTCACAACATCGTTGAGGGACGAGAGAGGCTGTGAGGTAGCTATAGAAAAAGAAGTTGCTGCCTTAAATTTTTAAGTTCAATCAACTTGGATGCTTAAGTCATTTCAACTTAAATAAAGGCCTACATTAAACTGACTTTAAAAAATGTGTAAAAAAAAAAAGTTCACTTATTATTTTGATGAGTTAAAGCGATGTAAAAACATATGTTGTCATTACTTATTGGTCATATATATTTTTTTCAATGTGTTTTTGGATTGGATTGTTCTGCTGACGAAAAACTGCAAATATATTTCCAGGACATTTAAGTAGACAAAAAATTCCAGATAACATGAGCTGAGGAAAAGTGTGTGTGTGCCATTGAAAACATCATCGCTTTCGTCATAGCGCTGCTCTGAATAAGGTCTATGGTTACATCCTCAGGCACGCGATTTTGTGAGCGCCTATTTTAGACCAGTTGCATACACTTAGCCTCTAACAAAGAGGTAATTATTCTTTCTTTTCCGATTTAAATTAGACTAATGACTTTTTATATTGGCTAACTGACTTAAAAAAGTCAGGACCAGTTTTGAAGAAAACAAAACAAGTGATTATAACTGCCAGAGAGGTCTAAGCAGGCAACCGGCCAGATGAAAATATGCGCCACGCCCACGACAAACATGAAAGGTTCAATAGAACATCTAGCTCGTGTTTATGTTAAAAGCTAATAGTAATAATACATCGATAAATTCAGCCTGAAACGATGGATTCTTTCTTCAGAGCTCAGTCAAGCGCGGGTGAATGATCCGCGTCTGACCCGGGGTGCGCGTGCATCGCCTGTTTTTCCTTTAGTTAATTAAAGACCTGCAGAGATCGAACGCTTCCACTTTTCACACAATAGACAATATCACAGAGAAACAGTGAAAATCGCTCGGCCTATCTCAACACCGCCCTTGATCTCAGCCCCATGTAATTATTCCAATTCAGCCCGAGGTACGGACGTGCTGCTTAGATACTGTCTTGTCACTCTGAGTCTAATTTAGGGGTTTACCCGCAAATTAAGCAAATTAGCGGCTCATTAATTTTAGGAAGGGAAGTAATATTCTGTTGAGCCTAAGGGCTCATTAAAATCCACATTATATTATGATGGATCAATGCCGTCAATACATAACCATTTGTTCAATGCAATTGTTCCATTGATCAGATCTTCGATGTTTAAGAATAGCGGCCAATCTTGCTCAGATGAGCTACCAAAAATATTAGTTATAATTAGCATATTTACCCAAATGCAAAACCTTTTTTTCAATGCTGTTTTTATTAGGTTGTCATAAACACTTTCACAATTAACACGCCTAACATATAGGCTAATGCACAAAACCACAGGGGACCATATGACAAAAAGTGAAAAAAGTGCAATACCACAAACCAACATTGGGTAAAGTCAAGTCAGGTCACCTTTAGGCTATTTAAATTACGCTTTTATTCAGAAGCAGTGATAAACAGGAAAATTATTCAATGACTAAACAGAGTTCATTTCATCTGTAGGCTACAGAAGCTCTACAAGAAAAAAGTTCAGCTGAATGCAATATGTACTTTGGGAGTGCAAGTTAGCGATAAAGTAGGCTAGGCTACAGTCAATATTAACCACAGATATGTGCAGTAAAGTAGTAGGCTATGGTTAACATAGTGCACATTAAAATAGCCTATATGTCCTATGCTTTTATTGTATTTTTTTACTGTGACATGGAGAGTTTTGAAACTTTGATATTTTCATAAAATAATATATTTTTTAATATATTCACTATAGGCTAGCCTATATCTCAGTAACTGGTTTTGAGTCAAAAGTCTGATTACGTAAATGTTAACTCTAGTGATTTAGTTAAAAACTCTTAATTAAAAATAATTTAATTTTTGTCAAGGAAGTTATACTCGTTCAAAAGTTTGCATAGCAAATGTGGAATTGTTGGCATTAGCATCTTCTGCCATGCTGGCTATTTACGTCATATATTTAGATATATTATATTTTGTATTTTTGTCATTTAAAAATTTGGGATCATACGTCTCTTGTGCTAACCAAGGCAATTTCAATATGATTAAAAATAGAGCAAAAATAGTTCTTAAATATTAGTAAAACCTGTGATATACTTTTTCAGGCTTTGATAAATACAATCTTCAAAAGAACAGAATTCATTTGAAATAGAACCTTTTTTAAACCATGTAAATGCCTTTATACTGTCACTTTTTTTTTTTAAACAATTTGAGGCATCTCTGCTCAATAAAAGTATTAATATAAAAAAAAAAAAAAAAAAAAAAAAAAAAAAAAAAAAAAAGAAGGTATATATGTTGACTGAGAAGATGGATTACTGAAAGTTATTATAAAGTGTTATGGTAATCTGAAAATCTATAATTCTGCATGATCATCAGTAAAACTCAACATGACGCGTCATGGTGCCATATGGAAACCGAGAGGCGCGTGGCTCATTCATAGGCAAACAATTTAGCAGTGACATCCATAAATAAATAACTCCAAATAACGTTGCTTTCACAACAGATTCTGAGACATGCGATTGCCAGAGAGGTCTGCATACAATCCACACCTGAAGAGTTGCAGGTAATTAATGAGTCCGTTTTAAATAAAGACGTGGCTGCAAACAACAGAGGGAGTAATGAGATGTCTTCTCTACTTATATACATTGATTGACTGCATACTGACGAATAATAATTAAGGCTAATAAGAATGACTTATAATAAACAGGTACACCACCATCCTAGACCAGCTTAAAAAAACTACTATGGAATGCTTCTAGAGGGATTTAAATGGTCGTGGCGTTTTCTCTATTCCGACAGATGGCAGTAATGTAGCATCTATAAACTTTACCAGAGAGAGGCGGAAATAGCGGAACTCCCGAAGTGTTTGGACGTGGTGAACTTTACATTGTAAACATATTTGATTTTTCCAAACACCTGGGCCATTAATAAATAAATAATATTCGAGCCCTACTGTAGGCTATCCAACAAATAGCTATTCCTGCTGAATCAACTGTTTTCTGCTTTCTTTATTAGGCTAATTTATTAGAACATATAAACACATTGTTCCTCAAAGTTGTTTATTAATAAACCCAACATAGCTATACCAAACAGAAGACACTCAAAACTAAGACAGACCCATTTATTCCGAGGATTATTATAAATTCTTGCCAAACAGCTGGTAGGCCTATTTCATTGAACTGTGCCTTCATTTCATCGGTGCCTTCAATGACATCATCTATTTGAGCAACACGCATGCGTAAAACAATCACCCCAAATAATCAATCGGACAAGTGTGTGTGTGCGTGCGCGCGACTGTTGAAGACTAGAGGCAGAACGAAAACCATTCGTGTTCTCGAACTCATAGGTTAGGCTTACGAGAAAGATCATGAAATCTACAATTTAATTTCTTCTTTAAAAAATCTGAATGACCTCCCGTTGTCTGGTAAACCGTGACTTGAGTAAGTAATCAATCACATCAATCAATTTACATTAGCCTATAGTGTATTTTAGCTATAGTTTGCTATATGGGTTACAGGAGTAAAATATACTGTAAACATTTTTGTGTTTACAGTATATTTTACTGTAAACAAAAGTGCAGTTTGCAGTTTATTTTATTGCCCTATTCAAAGAGTAAAATCCTGACAAATATGAGATCAAATGGCTTAATCTTTCAAATCAACAGAGGGCAGTAGTGCTCCACTTTGTAGTTGTTGTGTATCACGTTTCTTTCTTTCTTTCTCTCTCTCTCTCTCTCTCTCTCTCTCTCTCTCTCTCTCTCTCTCTCTCTCTCTCTGTCCTTTTCCTTTTTCCTATTGCCCTTAGTTACCCCAGTAATTAAATTCATGGTGGGAGAAATGTCATGGCGTCCTGGGTGTTTCAAACTTGGATTCCTGATCAGTGAAGATTCTCAAAAATGCCCTCATGTCATACCCTTTAGTGTTTCCAACTTGTCCCTGTCTGTTCAATTTTTCCAGAATTTGTCTTCATTTCTGTCTGCCATCGGTTTATTTAGTAACCTCATTACATGACCTGTTTTGCTGTGGAATTTTACAGGAGCTGCAATTATCTGTAATCCAATCTAATTCAATATCAAATGAAGCTTGATTCTATGTTTAGTTCGCTGACAGTGATTTGCTTAGAGAATATCTTTCATTTAAGTCATGCAACAATAGATACGTTTCTCATAATTGAGACATTATAAGAAGCGATTTAACAATCTAATCAGTAACACTATCAGAGGCGGTTTCAATTATTCGAGGCATTCTTTTAATTGTTTATTAACTAGCTGTTGTTGATTGTATATTAACCGTTGTCACCGCGCATGTCCTTTGGGAAATTTCTGTAATGAGAATGAAAGTGACATTCACAGTTTGCATCAAAGCTTCTCTCTCGGCACACTGTATTTGATTGAGAGGAAGGTGAGGCGTCTGCGAACTGCATGCCTTTCATTGCCATTTATCTGGCATTTTTGCTTATCGCGGTGACATCACCAATCAATAATTCCTGTTCTGAGAAAAAGTCAACAAAAAGCCTGCTGATTAAATCAGCGACGGGCTCCTTTCAAGGTCCTGATGGGATGAGAATACACACGAAGCTGGATGCACAACGTCCGTATATCCTTTCCTCGACATTCTGTAAACGTCAGAAGAGTTGGGCTGCATGGATCAACAGGAATGAACATCACAGGCGTTTTATCAATGTGAGGATATGGATGTTTCAGACTGTCTGTTGTTTTTTTATTTGTTTCAGTACCATGTTAACATCCTCCTTCAGTGTGGTCTTGTCCTGAGGTGTCATAGCTTGCTGCAGGCGGCCGGAGGGAGAGTAAGGAAGGAGAAAGATTCTGGTTCAAGAGAGATGATTCTGTGACCACGCTCTGATCATTGAGCCATTGCTTATGTGAGTTATGGCAAAATGGATCACAGGGACTCATAAAGGCTTTCATAAGCACTGACTCTATCTTTCTTTACTGTTTAGGTTCCCTCTTTAACGCTCTCCTTTGTCGTTTCTCTTGTTTTGGTGCTCCAGTTCCTCAAAAGGCCTTTTTATTTTTAACCAGATTCTTCCACTCCTCTTTTTTGCTTTCATGGATCATCCTCTTTATCTTTCTGATCTCTTGTTTCCATCTCTCTCTCTCTCTCTCTCTCTCTCTCTCTCCAGATGCTCCTGGCTGGGAGAGGGCTTCTGAAGGGCGAATGTAAAGCCCAGTGGGCTGCTGTCGGCCTTGCTGCAGGGGGAGATGTTGAAGAACGCCAGAGCAGAGACGTCCCACTCCTCGTCCCATTGTTCCTGTCACTCCGTTCCCGGTAATTAATATCCCCTGCTAATACAGACACTGTAAATCATAACATAGCCATTACATCCATGGGGAGCCTTCATGCATCATCTGTAGACTTCGACTCATGAGTCTTTGATCAGCTGACCCAGGTTAAGTACATATTTGATGAGTGTAAATAGAAGGCTGCATCCCTGGACTCACACAAATCTCTCCGTGACCTTGTACGGTCCTTGTGGCCTTGTGGGTGTTTCTAATGCTGCGATTAGAAAGTGTGATGAGACTGAACTCTATCTATCCATCCATCCATCCATCCATCCATCCATCCATCCTACATAATCATCTGCCAAATGCAGGAATGTAAATTTGGTTGCATTGCTAATTTGATTAACTTATTAACATTAAATTAAAATAATACAAGCCATCCCTTCAAAATGTGCTTGCCTCAAGTTTGGTGGTGAAATCACAGCATGGTACAAGGCCACTTTCAAAAACTTTAACACTCACCGTCACATGATGCAAAACACCCAACCTTCACCCGAGCTGCGAAAACTGTGAGCACTTGACTAACTAACAAGCCTATTTGCACTTTGCCTTTTTGCACTTTAAAAAGAAACTTGCATAAATAAATGAATGCACTTAGGCTGTAGTGTCGAACTACTGTAGTACAGACTTGTATTCTACCTTGTATTAATAATATCTTCTGTTTTCTATTACTTTTCATTTGTAAGTCATAATCATTTTTTTTTAAAAATCGAATTAAATAAATGTAAATGTAAATGCCCTCTGTTAAGTCACCAACGTCATGTCTTCTCTGATGACGTGCACTGGCGCGACCTCCAGCAACCTGTCACCCACATTATTGCAGCAATACCAAACGACAATGATCCAATCAATTATAGATCAACAAAATTAAAGGGTTAGTTCACCCAAAAATGAAAATTCTGTCAGTATTACTCTCCCTCATGTTGTTCCAACCCCGTAAGACTTTCGTTCATCTTCGGAACACAAATTAAGATATTTTTGATGAAATCTGAGAGCTGGCTCACTCCTCCATAGGCTGCAAGGTAATTTCATCTGCCGGCCCAGAAAAGTTAGTAAAGACATCGTTAAAATAGTCCAAGTGACTACAGTGGCTCAACCTTAAGTTTATCAAGCGACGAGAATACTTTTTGTGCGAAAAACAAACAAAAATAACGACTATTATTCAACTATTCATTTCCATCTGCGTGGGCCTCACGATCATTTGATGGGAAAGTGAGAAAGGTAAGCCATTCATTTTGCGGTATTGGTAAGGCACTTTTACGTTTTCTCGTTGGTTTCTCACGATTCAGACATCCAGGAAATGCACACTTTAGAACCATTTTAAACACTATATCGAGACCCATCTTTGTCATCTTCTCAGTTCTCGCGCATGCGTGGCGCTCTCGTGAACTCACTCGAGGCCCACACGGAAGAAAATGAATAGTTGAATAAAAGTTGTTATTTTTGTTTGTTTTTCGCACAAAAAGTATTCTCGTCGCTTGATAAACTTAAGGTTGAGCCACTGTAGTCACTTGGACTATTTTAACGATGTCTTTACTAACTTTTCTGGGCTGGCAGATGAAATTACCTTGCAGCCTATGAAGGAGTGAGACAGCTCTCAGATTTCATCAAAAATATCTCAATTTGTGTTCCGAAGATGAACAGAAGTCTTACGGGGTTGGAACAACATGAGGGAGAGTAATTACTGACAGAATTTTCATTTTTGGGTGATCTAATCCTTTAAGTCTCGCCTTTTCCTTGTTTTGTTTTAGTGCAAGAACGAGTGGTAGACATACAGAAATTGTACAAAATACATATCGACAAAACACAACAATATAAGGGGAGAAGAAAAAAAAACAAGAATAAAAACAGAACAAAGCAAAACAAAAAGGTAGAGAAAAGAAAAACCTTATAATTATAAATTCTACATGTCCTTTGGGGGTGTTGAGTGTTTTAGGGTATTCGGTTCTTAAAAATTCGGTTATTTTTTTCCTCTTTTCTTTCTTTCTCCCCTCTTTTCTCACTCTCCTCCCACTCCTTCAAACAATAACAACAATAATAAAGATATTAATAGGATTTCCTGATTGATATGGCTATCATTTTTCCTTGTTTGAAAATGTTTCACTCGGATGTACATCACAACAGGGAAGAAAAGACAATTGCAAATTTTGTTTCATGCCGGCTTTAAAGGAAACTTTTTAGTGGGCTTAGAGACAGCAGCAGTATAAACAGATACAGATGTACAGATAGCAGTGGAGGTGGGGCAGCAGGGAGAGAAGTATAGTTTAAGGTGCTGCTCGGTAGAAGTCACCCGCTAGGACAGTTCATTTCCAATGAAAGTTGGAGGCGGAACGGAGAGGGGGCTCAATCCCATAAAATTGCTGAGAATGAGCAACAGAAAAGTGGAGTGGGTGTCTTGCGCGGCTGCTAGGATCCAGCCCTGTGCACCATGGATGAGAATGCGAGGTCATACACCAGACTTAACCCTTAAATTCATTAATGTTTTGCCAATCATTATTACATATTCGGGTCTTTAGCGACCCGGATCTATATCTAACACGAATGGATCTCTACTTGTCACAATAATATAAAAATCTCCTGATATTAGAGTATCAATTACAGAAGAATAAAATAAAGCATATTTTGTTACCTTTTGGAGCTGGCAAGGGTTCAGTTTGAGCAGATGTTTAATACCATCATCACTGTCCTCATCAGAGCTCATTTCCCAGTACATTCTCAAAACTATCATTTTCAACATCTTCAAAATCAATATTTTGATCGCTGACAGCTTCTTCACCAGATCCACCATTAAATGACAGTGATTCTAATATTTTATAGCGTTCAATACTTGCTCTGCAGTAAATCGCTGAGCCACTTCAAGGTTTGGTGATGATACTTTCTATTCTTTTGTTTTCTGCCTGCGGTAACGTTACTTCAAACTTTTGTATCAGACATTATAATTTTATAAAAAAATTCTTGCTATATTGTTTATAATTAATTGATTGAGGAATACTAAGAAGATTGATGTCTAACTTTAAAAAATGAATGAGGACGTAGTGAATGGCGTCCCGGGTTACTAAAGACCCAAGGTATGCGATTAAGGGTTAAATCAATTTACAGGTTTTCCTCAATTGCTTTGGCTTTTTTTTAATCATTCTCTAAACTGTAAGTATATTGTCACAACTGTCCTATGGGACATCATCACGACTCTGCAAAATGTAATGACTCACCCAAAACTGTTATTTTATGCTTTAACCTAGTTATTGTGTCAGTAAATTGGCCAATGCCACTAAAATGTAAAGTTTTTCTGTCATTGTGTGAGCAGTGCTGATCAAAGTGTACTGTACCGTTTTTTTTTTTTTCCCAAGTCAACACTGAAAATGTTATGTACAAATTTCATTTTTGTTCTTCTTTTTTGCTGACATTGGCTGTTTACTGCCCTATACAATCATTTTGGTTCTGTCTCGCTGAATGCTATTGGTATCCCACTGAGCTTTTTAAGTAGGCTACTGATTTCAACATTATAAAGGTTTGTAGGGAAACATAAATACTGTAGTACACAGAAAATAATATGCACGGTAAACAGTACATTTATTTTAGTAGCAATGTGCTACATGTAAATATTTGCATGTCCATTTGACACATTTCTACATGTAAAGTCATAAAGGCAACATTTGCCAATTTAACATACACTCACCTAAAGGATTATTAGGAACACCATACTAATACTGTGTTTGAGCCCATTTCGCCTTCAGAACTGCCTTAATTCTACGTGGCATTGATTCAACAAGGTGCTGAAAGCATTCTTTAGAAATGTTGGCCCATATTGATGGAGATTTGTGGGATGCACATCCAGGGCACGAAGCTCCCGTTCCACCACATCCCAAAGATGCTCTATTGGGTTGAGATCTGGTGACTGTGGGGGCCATTTTAGTACAGTGAACTCATTGTCAGGTTCAAGAAACCAATTTGAAATGATTCGAGCTTTGTGACATGGTGCATTATCCTGCTGGAAGTAGCCATCAGATGATGGGTACATGGTGGCCATAAAGGGATGGACATGGTCAGAAACAATGCTCAGGTAGGCCGTGGCATTTAAACGATGCCCAATTGGCACTAAGGGGCCTAAAGTGTGCCAAGAAAACATCCCCCACACCATTACAGCACCACCACCTGCCTGCACAGTGGTAACAAGGCATGATGGATCCATGTTCTCATTCTGTTTACGCCAAATTCTGACTCTACCATCTGAATGTCTCAACAGAAATCGAGACTCATCAGACCAGGCAACATTTTTCCAGTCTTCAACTGTCCAATTTTGGTGAGCTCTTGCAATTTGTAGCCTCTTTTTTTCCTATTTGTAGTGGAGATGAGTGGTACCCGGTGGAGTCTTCTGCTGTTGTAGCCCATCCGCCTCAAGGTTGTGCGTGTTGTGGCTTCACAAATGCTTTGCTGCATACCTCGGTTGTAACGAGTGGTTATTTCAGTCAAAGTTGCTCTTCTATCAGCTTGAATCAGTCGGCCCATTCTCCTCTGACCTCTAGCATCAACAAGCCATTTTCGCCCACAGGACTGCCGCATACTGAATGTTTTTCCCTTTTCACACCATTCTTTGTAAACCCTAGAAATGGTTGTGCGTGAAAATCCCAGTAACTGAGCAGATTGTGAAATACTCAGACCGGCCCGCCTGGCACCAACAACCATGCCACGCTCAAAATTGCTTAAATCACCTTTCTTTCCCATTCTGACATTCAGTTTGGAGTTCAGGAGATTGTCTTGACCAGGACCACACCCCTAAATGCATTGAAGCAACTGCCATGTGATTGGTTGATTAGATAATTGCATTAATGAGAAATTGAACAGGTGTTCCTAATAATCCTTTAGGTGAGTGTATATCACAGACATTCCATGTCAAAGATATGTATGGAATACACATGGATGTCTGACAGATTTTGATTATTGAATGGCTCATTTTGCATGTGATCAAAGAATGTTTAGAAGTTGTGA